CAGACACCCTCAGGCCAGACTGGTGGAAAATCTGCCCCAAATATCAGGTTTTTGCCTCAGRTTTGCAGGTACATCACAACATGCASGGTGGAGACTTTGGAACAAAATAGCTTCAGATCCTCTACAAAAAAGASTTCCTGGTTTGTAAGTTTAAGGAAAAAAAAGAGGTTTATAGTCACCACATGCTCGTTATTTGTCTCATTAATCTTTAATGGCAGCTAGAAGCTACAGGTTTATAAATATATCTTTTTCATAGTTGTGACAAGCAGTGACTAGATGCAGTTTTGGTGGAAAATTTTCTGAAATACTGTAAGGCTAGGTAAATCACAAGGCATTATTAGAAAAGGTTGATTCTGACTTTTGGTGATATTACATTAACTTTTACAAACGTTAGGAACAAACATTATTCAGTRAAATACAAACATTGCAGAAGACACTACAACCAAAACTAATTTACTAGTCAAGTACAGGGTGAAGTAACAATTTTTTTTTTTTTCAAAACAAAGTCACAGTAAATCAAAGAAACAGTAATAAACCCCTGCGTGTTGAAGAACACTCTCTTCAACAGACAGAACCTCAATTTGTGTAGCACTGCAAGGGAAGAGTTGGTTTGTTCACACCACTCTGAGAACAGCAATTCTCTGTCACAGCAGTTGATTTTCCTGCAGTCCAATGTGGATTCGTGCCCAGATATTGGCAGGTTTTGMACCCAGGGTGCCCCTCCAAGAAGGAGGCACAGGAGATACACAAACATTTGTTATACCACAAACAAGCTCAGCAAATTGATATATGAGCAATCCCAGCCAATTTTAGTTTGACTACTTTTGATCAGCTTTAAAAACACACTTATTAGCTCTTTGAGTTTAAAAGTGTAGCACAATTTGGCTTTTTGTTTTAAGATACAGAAATACAAAAATTTTAAAACTCACAACAGTAACACAACTTTTGTCCTACAGGGTGATAAGTGTAACGTGTGAGACTTGATTATGCAATTTTATGAAATATTGTCTTCTTATTGTTACCAGAGGAGTTTCTTATGATTTAGTGAAGTCAGGTTGGACAAAAAAAAAAAGAGTCTAAAGTTTTAACACCATTTAAGACACACAGTTTCCTTAATGACACTTAAAACAGAATATTCTATACATAACACACTGATACATGAACTACACCAATCAAGTTAATCCCTATAAAAACAGGTGCACCATAGAATTGCATAGAAAGAAATCCCTGGCATTAATAACTTGCACTGGAGACTAGGACTTTCTCCCTGCCTTTCTAGATCAAAGCACGAATGTTTTTTAAAAAAGCACATCTCACACTTGACGTTTTTCTTAGCTATATTCTTTGGAATCACTAGTGCATATGTAATTTCAAGCAATTTTTATWCTTCATGCTATTGTTTAATATTTAAAAAATGAAAATTGCAAGGAGAATATTTCCCTGCCTTTCCCCCCAAAAAGCTCTAATGTAAAATAATCCTCCTATGTAGAATAAAAATAAAATCAAATCTTTCCTCAACAACAGAGACCTCAAGGAAAAGCCAGAATGGCTGAATGAARAGGATATTCACATGAGATGGGGAAACCCAGGGTCAAAAATCCTCTCTATGAAGTAGTTTTCAAAAAGTATTTAGAAGTTGGATRAAGAAAAACTCCAAGCAATAGCCAATGGTTTCACAGCTCAGTATCCACTTTGCTCATGGAAGACCTACATTCAAGTTCATATGTGGATGTCAGGAAATACTCTCACCACTTCTTTTTTGGGGGGCAATTCTCTCCCATCTTCTGAACCTGAGAAAACCTTCACTGAAACAGCTGTGTTTCCCTGAACATGTTTAATTTTGAATTATGCCACCAYTGCCCATTTTAAACAAAATGCTGATTAGCTCTATGTAAGGCCAATGGGCTTTGTTTTACAGCAATATTGACTATATTTACTTCTTGCCTCAAACTATTTATGTTGGTAAACCTTTAATTTTAGTGCTCATTAAGTAATCCTTCCATTTACTCCAAGCATGTGTGCATGGAGTACCTACAGAAAACAGAATTACTGAGGATTTGCCAAAAAGCCMTGTGGTATAGATAAAAGTAATTTTCTTCAGATATTCCCTGCAGTGAGCACTTTTATGTCATGATATCAGCTCTGCAGGCAAATTAAATCCATCCAAAAGTTTTAACAATATGCATTATGCAGCATCAAATAACAGTAAAAGCTGAAAAAGTCAGGTATCCACGAGCAGCTTTCATAGAAAACTAGAACTCCTGGTTTCAGATAGAATATATATTTAGAATATTTGTGCAAGAGGTGAATATATACAATAATGATATTATATTAACTACAGTCACATTTTTTTTATTTAACTACATAATTGTAGAGGTGTCCCACAAAGACACCTCCATATTTCTCACTGACATTTCTTTCACTGCAATATGGGAAAATATTATCAAACTCTTCTAGCTGCTAWAGATACAGGATTTCTGGCACAGCTAAAAATGTGTCAGGAATTAGGATTATTGTATTTTTTTAAAATTTCATTTTCATGACAAATTCATTATTGGACTTGTGGTGGGAGAGCTAAGGAACACATGATSTTTATTCCTAGGAAATGCTGAAAGGCACATGAAAATCTTAATATATAATATGTTGCAAAATCCAGATTCTTAGTATTTCTGCAGGTTACTTTACATTAAAATTAGCAGCTGCTTGCCTATGGGCATTATGGAAAAATATTTCATGTAYCTGTAAAGGGGTGATGCTCATGAATGAACAGACATTTGTTCATACAAGTGACACATTTGCCCCTCACATCTGCTGAAACAACAGAGTGTCCACTCTCTCTGTTGTTTACTGAGATACTGAGGCACACACATTCATATCAAGAAAGATACTTGCAAATGGTAAAAGGAGAAAAAAGATTAATTTACYTGGAGTTATGTACATTTAGTGAAAATAAGTACAACAGATCCAGTTACTGATTTTATGCTGATAAATAAAATGTTTAGCTAGCTGAAATTCATTTACAGTCACTTAATAGTCCAGATTTGTTTTGAGATTTCTAATAATTAGGGTAAATTTCCAAAATAATGCCATGGAAGGCATAAAATCACATGCAAAACCCCTACCAGTTCAAGTGTGAAACAGCAAACACCCATCAGACATACAGTACAACTTGACTCGCTGTGTAAATTACCATTATAGTGCACATAAAATATCATGGCACATTTCATAAAGCTACAACTTTGCACCATAAATGACAGACACGTTTTTACATCTGCAGAGACATAAGCAATGAAGAATTCACTTATAGACCTAAGCATTATTGCCTTGCCTAAACCATTCTGGTATCACTTGGAAAGGGAGGTGGCATGGACTCCATTCATGCAAATAAAAACATTTTTTTTCCAGAAACAGATTGAATTGAAAATTCTCAAATATTTAACTTTGCTTGTGAAAKTTCTTTCTCTTGAACAATATTCTTTAGAAATACAGTTTTAAAAAGTTGTTTGGTTGATGCTCCCAATGATTGGTGTCCTGTCAACTTAAAAATTACCCCCTTCAACAAAGGTTTTCCTCCCCAAAGTCATTGTTTATGTGGTATATTAATATCATTTGACATTTTAATTTCATCTCCAYTTATCACAATGCTTCTAGCAAGTATTAGACAGCATCAGATTSAAATCTAATGGATTGAAAACTGCATGAGTGCTGCCAGTGGAAAAACATTCACAGACATTGTAACCTTACATGTGTACGGAAATATGAACAAACCTCGCTTGGAAATAAACCCCTGTGACAGAAGTGCAAATATGTAATCGAAGTAGGGCAGCTTTGGCATATGCCACTGATAATTTCTATGAAAACACCTCAGTCTCCTTCCACAGACTTCACCAATATCATTCTCCAGTCAAAGCTGGCTGGGTGCAACCTTCCCTTTCCAGGCACTACAATGCAGCTGTCTCTAATTCTTCTATAAGACCACRTCTTTTACAGGACTTGCATGTATATCATCAGTAATCTCTGATCAAGCCCATAAAGTCACTCACAAAATTCCAGTTGAGGTCAGGATTATATGCTTGAAAGCTCAGGACACTGTTGTGCAAAACACTCTTCTGGTATGCTACAACTTCAAAAGGTTTAATGTTCAAATTTGCTTTTGGCAAAGGTGGCCAAAAATATAACAATAATATCTGAAAGTATTATAAAGCCATAGCCCAATTCTGCCTGCAAAATTCCAAACAAGAGCAGCAGTAACTTCACCTAAGTCATTTTGAAAAATAAAATGTAACACRACTGCCTTATGCACTTGATGCATACATCCATGTAGGTAATCCAAATTGAAAGTGTTTAAGCCACAGCTGCGAGAAGGAGGTTTTAAAACTTTTTTAAAGACCTTTAGARAGCTGTAAGAGACCTGCAGATGATGCATGAATCAAATGATAATGARGATTGCCAATTACTGGAAAATGATTTTGCGGAGTTCTGTAATTGTTCTCTAATGGTTCTAGCACGGTTTGTGTTTATAAAGCCATTGGAACAATAAACAGGAAACCTTGTTAAAACTTCATAAGCAAAGTTTCAGCATCAGTTGATCTAAAATGCTTAGAAACTACTTTTCTCTCCAAGCATTTTCATCAGTCCACATAACTGTCGGTTCACTCTGTCGGTTAAAAAGGCCAAGCTTTTGGAAAGCTGTAACACATAAATAAATGATGGTTTGCTATATTTCTACCAGATTTCAAAGTGCTTTCAAATGGAGACAAGTCCTTTTCCTTCTCTCCAGTATTAAGGCTCTTATAAAAAGTGTAAGTTCAACCAAAAGACACTTGGGCTTTCTTTATCAAATACACCACTTAATACGATTTAATCACATTTAAAGACTCTAGTTGTGCAATTCTAGCRTTATAAATGTGTTCTAGCAACTTACAGAATTACTGTATTACTAGATGGGGACCTCAATATTCTAAAATGTGAAGTACTCAGTAGATGCTGACAGTATATTTCTCTTGAATTCTGTTTCATTAAAGCACAGCAATTAAAACACTGACTGGGAAATTAAAACCAAGCTACCAATACTACAGAAAGAAGCCTTGTCAATATTTCCATTAAATCAGAACCAATAATCCACAGAAATTAAATTAAATACTCTTTTACCATCGAGTTTCCAGGCCTCTTTTTTTCCCCCAGAATTAAGAAGTTTAATTATTCTGACTGAATCAGGCCCTCAGGAGACAAAAGTGCTCTCAATTCTCACCAAAGTCAAAAGGTTCTGTGAGAACTCATTACTCCAGACATTACTCAAGCTGCTTGGGACACTTAACCCTTACAAGAAACATAAAAATGCAGTTTAAAAAAAAAATCACATTTCATTCCAAAACAACCTACAGAAGATCCAAAACCTTTAAGGCCCGATCTTACAGTCCTTCACAACCAGAAAATCCCACCGACATGGTTTTACCACTCTCAGAAATCGTATTTGCAGAGGCCCCTCTCTGGCAAACACATACATGCCTCAATCCTGGAAAATTAGCACCCAGATTTGGCACCAACACAACCTGTATACAGCTGAACTCCTGAAAAACCAAGTTTAAAAAGGAAAATGCTATGTTTAGTGCTAATTTAATTTAAAACACACCTTTGAAGGCAGAAGTCAGCATACTGTGTCAATTTTTCTCGATACACTTTTATACGGCAAAGTGCAACTTTCTTTGATTTGTCTGATTAAACCTCACAGTTTTGTGAAATCCATCACTTACTGAAATTATTGTGAAGAATCTGGAGCAGGAAATTCAGAAACAGGCTCCTGCACTGATCCTGTTTAATTAAACTGTTAACAGGAATAAAATGGAAAACATTGCATGTGATGCAGGCGAGAATTACGGATTCAACTCTTGCCTCCTCTCTCGTTCCTTTGGTGCAATTCCACGACTTTCCTGCTGACCTGAACACAAGCAGCTTTGTGGGGCCAATCCTACCGAAACAAACACCAGACCCTGAAAAACTTTTCCATCAACGTACCACACGAATTCTAAACCAAAACACTTTCTTCTTAAAATCTCTCCATRAGTTGTGTTTCAAAGAGGGTGTGATGATGTTTTCTTCTTTCTAACTATGTTAAAATACCCGAAAGAGTGTTCAAAATGGAAAAAAAAATAAATCTTTGCTTTAAAACAAACATTTCACTGCATGATGAAATACAGCTACACCTTGGGGCATCCGTACTCTTCTCTTTTTGGGTTCAAAACCATAATCCGCTCCTTAGACTGCATTATCAGGTCCTTAACCCCGCGGGACAATTAACACGAGTGGGTCAGAGAGGCACTGAGAGCGGATCCAGGCCCAGGCCGGAGCTTTGCTTGAGCAGGATTAGGCAAATAGGACAGAGGCATGCCCTGTGGCAGTGCCCTCCGCGTTACCTGTGAGGGGACAGCAGCCCATCCTGACCTGCGGGGCCGGGAGCAGTGCACCCACCTGCGGATCCCGGTCCTGACCGGCAATTCCTGCACATTCCCGGCCTTGTCACCGGGGCCCGGCCCGGCAGCCGCTGCTTTGGTGGAAGCCACAATGTTCTGAGGGGGAACCCGCGCCCGGCCTCCCTGCCCACACCCCGRGAGCCGAGCCCGGGTTCCCCCCGGCACCGCTAATGACACACAAAACACAAATTACCCATCTGTAAACACAACTCGGGAAAACACCTCCCGTTGGCTTGAGGAGAGGTGGCCGGGCAGGTGCCGGGCCGAGGGCTGGCCCTCCGCGGGCTCCGCGCTGCCGCCGCCTCAGATGAAGTGGATCCAGGCGGAGCTGTCCGGGTCCTGCGGGGGCCCGGCGGCGGGCGGGACGCGCTGTCGGCCCCTCAGCCGGTAGTTCTTGCCCTCGTTGTTGTCCCAGTACTCGGAGCCGGCCACGCGGTAGCGGACGGCGAACTCCAGCGTGGTGTCGGYGGCCGCGGCGGCGCCCAGGGGCAGCAGGAAGGCGAAGCGGTCGGTGATGCCGTCGGCCGGCCCGGGCGGCTGGTACGTGGCGACAGCCTCGGCGCAGCTGGCCCAGCCATTGAGCGTGTAGCGCACCGACACGACCTTCTCGTAGGCGAGGTTGAGGACGCGCACGGCCCCGCGCAGCCCCGCCGGYTCTGCCCGCACCCACTCCAGCCTCACCTTGTGCTGCCGCACCCGCTCCGTGAAGCCGGGGCTGGCACCGGGCTGCGGMGGGAACAGCGGCTCCAGCAGCGGCGGCGGCGGCCCGAACAGCACCGGCTCCAGCTCGCCCAGCGCCGGCGGCTTCCTGGTCTTGAGGAGGTCGGCGGGGCGCGGCGTCGGCGGCGCGGGCAGCGGCACCCGCGGCAGGTCGGCCTCGCAGAAGAGGTGCACGGAGGTGAGCTCCAGCCCCAGCGAGTCGGCGAACCGCACGGTCTTGCGGCGCGCCGGGCTCTGCTGCAGCGCGGGGCGCAGGCTGCGGTCGCCGGGCGTGGGCAGCGACTTGGCGCGGCGGCGCTGCGTGGGGCTGGGGGGCACGGCGGGCAGCGTGGGCTCCCGGCCGCGGSTCGGCGGCGGCTTCTCGCCCGCCGCTTCCCGCACCACGGGCGTGGGCGCGGCGTCGCCGTCGGGGCTGCAGCCCGCCCGGCACTGCTCGGCCAGGCTGCCATAGAGGCAGGCGCTGCAGCTGAAGTTGCGCGGCAGGTAGAGCCGGGGCGGCGGCGCGGGCACCGAGCTGTGCAGGGAGCCCCCCTTATCCATGGGGTGCCGGCGGCTGGCGCGCCACCCGGGGCTCCTCTTCTCGAGCCGCGGCGTGCGGATGGCGAGGCGGTTTTAGCGCTCGGTCCGCGGGTTCTGTCCSTCGGCCGGAGCCAGCGGGATGCCCTCGGCGCTGTCCAGGTGGCGGCCGGCCCCGGGGGATGCCGAAGGGTGCATGTGTGCGGGGGCGGCGGCGGGACGTGCGGCGGTCAGGCAGCGACACACGCCCCGAGCCATCCTTCCTTCCCCATGGCTCCCACCCGCCCCAGTGCCCGCCTCGGTGTCGGTCCCTAATCACTGCCCGCGGCTCCCCCTTTCCACTGKCCCCGGTACCGCGGCTGTGCCGTCCCTCTCCTCCGCCTCCTCCTCCTCCTCCTCGCTGCGTTCTGGGTCTTTCCTCGAGGATCTCATCCAAAAAGAGGAGGCGGCAGGGATTCCCCAGTGGAAGCATTAAAATTCATAGCGGCGCTCTCGCTCGTCCGATCCCGTTACAGAAATAGCTGCGAGAGGAAAAGGCAAAGCCGGGCTCGGGAAGATTACACGGGCCGATAAGAAACAGCTGGCTTGCAAGTTGGATCTCACAGTKTACATTTAAAGGAAGAAATCCAGCTAATCTGCTATAATGCGTTTACAGTACATCTGCTGAATAAAATACACCTGCCGCAGTCCTGCCACACATCCCCATCGGGGGTGAAAGCAGCTCCGGCCGAAACACGGGGCGATGATTGAGTGAAATATAAACTGCGCTGCCTCTTGTCAGAAGAGCGTTTGGAAATTGCTGAGCAATATTCAATAAATTACAGTTTAATGTCAGACTCCGGTGCAGCCAGTTCAAGAAGCTAAACCACCATTTTAGTAAGCCGCTTCATTCCAGACTTTCCGTAATCTGGGACTCATTTTTAATTAGTAAATGGCATTAAAAACAATGATCCCGCCACCCTGCCAGAGGCTGAGCCTGAACTGTGTTGACATGTGATTCTGATTTAGCTTCTGAGCAGGAGATTTTTACACCTCCAGCATTTTATCTCCAGCACTTGGTGTTCCTTTGACAGTCTAGGCAGTGGAAATGCGGCTGATAAGATTAAGAATGGGACAAGTAAACCTGATAAGGACTAAAAGAAAAAAAGCCACCAGAATACAGGGAAAAGTTACCCACTGCCTCACATTATAAACAATCAGCTTTAATTTCTTTATTAATAARTATGAGAATAATCTCTAGATTATTGCTGCTGACTTCCAAATGTTTTTAATGAAAGATGATACAAAACCAGGGAAAATTATGCCCATCAGTGTTGAATTTGACACTATCATGTTTCATTGTGGTAACGTTGCACATTCACAACTTGATAATAAGTTTTGAAAAATCGAATAGTAACAATATAAATAAGTACATCTGAAATCATTAGCCCGGGATCTTAAAATTATTCCACTTGTCCTTTAACACACACTATGGGAAAGATATTTTATTAGATGTCTTTCCCGTGTCTCCCTCCAAGAAATGAGTATTTCWGTAAAACAGCAAGAACCTATGTTTGGTTTTCATTTACTCATGCTAATTCGGGGGAGAATAAGAACAGACTGAAAGAATTGTTCAAACAGGTTTTAAGGCTACATCTTTTGAATTATTTTTTCAGTAATTTCTCTCTGTCATAATGAAAATTTTCTAATGAACTAACACTTGGTTTTGCTGATGTTAATTTCACTTTAAATCAAGTAAAAAAAACAAAAAATTTTTTTTTTACATTAATATGCACAGTCTTTGCATTTTTAAACCATTGTGAAACTATCAGCACTAAAAAGCTAAATTGGTTTAGACCAAATTACACATTCAGTCAGGTTTGGATCTTTTTGTGGGATGCCTRGGAACACAACTTTGGAGTAATTTAGCTTCTGCTGTACCTTACACAATTGGGGTGCCTTTGTAAAGTTTCACTTCCCCTCTTCTGGTAATGTTAGTTGCCCAACTTCTTATCATAATCTTGTGTAATGCTCCTGCTTTTTGGCTTTCTCAGGTCTCCTCTTTCCTTCCACAACCATGGTATTTCATGGAACAAAACCCCCCARCTTCTTTTTTTGGTGATTGCAGGCGAGGTAGTTCATGTAACTGAGTTGAAAATAAAGATTTCTCAAAAGTAGTAAACAAAAAAATAGCATATAAAACTGAGAAAATATAGTGAAAAGAAAGAGAAAAAAAAAGCAAACCAACACAAGAAGCTTTGGACTCCAAGGCAGCCTGAGCACCTCAGCCTTGTCTTGAGTACTGTCATTGTGCAAACAGTAACAGAATCCTCACAATGGTATTTCTCACTTTCTTCTCTCAATCCAAACATTCCCAACAAGTCTCAGTGAATCTGAGAATGCTGCTGCTTTCTTTTTACACTTGCTCACTTGTCAAGGGTGAAGCTGTGGGAACTCTTACCCACACCTTTCACTTCTGAGGGTGTCCCTACTACCAGGCTGCTCTTGCCCCTCTGATGAATTTTAAGACAGATGTAGTAAGTAAGTTTTGAGCATTGAAATTTAACACACAGGCATTCCCTCAAATAGCCTACAGCCTTGTGCATCCTTCTGTGATGTGGAAACTGTGGTTCAAGTTTAAAATGGGAAGCATCGGGCATGATTTGTAAAAGGAAATTTGAAAAGAAATTTTGGGTTTGCCTACTGTAAATATTTGTACACAGCAAATGCTGCAATCCTTAGGAGCGAGTAAGCACTACCACACACAGAAACTACACTTTAATGTATGCAGTGGTAGGCARCCATCCACCGCCCCCTCTCAATCTTAATTTAGTTCACAAAATTTTGAGCACTTAAGTTTTAAAGCCTAATCTGTCTCTGCATTTATAGTGCTATAGTGAGGGCATTTTCCAAGGCTCTTTTTTAAATAACACTGTCAATAACAAGCTGATACAGAAATCACTGGTACTAACCTAGCAACCCCTTTTAAAGAAACATCTATTATCTTTTTGCTGGAAAGTATTATTTTTATGACAAAATAATTTTGAAGGTGCCAGCAGTAACAGAGACATCAKGCTGTAAATTCTAGAGCTACACAGAGTTGCTCTGTTATAGGGTAAGAAGAGCAGAAGGTCTTACATTGCAATTAGTGTCGACAGACTAAGGAAACGGCACTCAGGCATTGTTTTCATTCCTCCAGATTCCTCTCCCTTCACAGATTTAAATAGCACGGTCACAGGATAAAGGTTTGTCCTAATTAACATTGTCCTAATAACATTTTGTTGACCTGTCTCTGCATCTTCTAGCTGACRTCAAAAATTTTAAAGACAGCCTCTTGTTTGCCTGCGTGAGCTGAGTGCCCCTGACATTTCTGCCGTGCCAAAGTGCATTTAAGATCTGTCTGATGCYTGAGAATTTCCAGTTAAATGAACAGAGATCTTTGGTCCTGTTTTGTTAAAAGATTTGCAAAGAAAAAAGCAGATAGTAAATGGGGAGCTTTTTTTCTGCTGCATTTATTGATTGTCTGGAGTCCAGGTAATCTAGGAGAAAGCAAACACCAGCGCTGGGGAGCATTAGGCAGAGCTGCAATAGAACCATTAATAGGGCAGAGAGAGCACTGGGGCTTATCCAAAGTGGCCACTGTCACATGTCCACTTTAACTTTCCAGAACAGGTTTATATTTAGAAATGAGAATTGCAGGCAGATAAAATGCATGTAAAGGCGAAGTGCATTACAGTTACAGCAGCTTTGGAGATGAAGTTGTGACTCAGTACATGAATTGTAAAGGTCAACTTCTACTCTCATCTGCATCTTGCAGCTCCTCTGAAGCTGATGAACTGTGTAGGTGTTAGGAGAATATCACCCCTGAGTTTAATAATCTTATGTGACTGCATGAATGTGACAATGGTATTTACACTGGCAGTCTGAAAGGCTTGCGTGATACAGYTGTTCTGCATGCTTCTACTTTAAAAATACCTTCCCACACTGATGATTAACTCAGACTTTATTTATTTCCCCAATAAAATAACTTAGTCACATCTCAAGAAGTGCCAGATTAGAATCAGATTGTACGCCTAAGGTATATATATATGTAAAAAATCAGGTATTCTGTTAAGATTTCTGTATAAATCTTTATCTAACCAGGTTTATCTATTATCTATTAAGGGAAAGTTCTTTGATTCATRGAGTCATATCAAAGATATTTGATGTCAAACAAAGATCAGTGAGTAAATTCCAACAGGCTGAAAGGTCTGCTAAACAGAGATGTGACACTTGGAAAGAGTGTTCTGAGGTTCAGTATTGATTTCTGGAATTCTGTTTTTGTTGATACAGCTGATACAGCTCCAGAAAAGGAAGAAATTTTCAATCCAGACTAGCAAGTCTGTTATCCTACAACTATGGCACAAAAATAGAAATACGTAACAAGTTCCACTGTTCAAACATTCACTTTTATTGTGAAATAAGGAATCACAATAAAAAGAACAATGTATGTGGAGCCTTCAAGATGTGAAAAATATAGCAGCTGTAGGGCACAAAGAGATTAATCTGTTCGACCTGTTTAGTCCAAACGATTCTGAAACTAAGTCTTCACAAGTACTTCCACCTGTGAGAGATTCCACTACCAAGGATCCTCCAAACCCTCCTTGGAAAAACACAAAAGTCATTATTTCTTAGAAGGTGATCAGTGGTACTTTAGCAGAGATTGCTTCCTGTAGCTACAGCAARAGAGCAGAAATGTGAAAAAGGAGCTGACATTGTGAATGATAAAAGTGAAGGGACACAAAATAGAAATTCATGAATCGTCATTTATCTCACTCCAGCAAGATCCTGAGCAGTTAGAGGCATTGTGCTCTCACGCCAGACACAAATGTTGCAATTTTTTGTAATCCTACTGCTTTTGAAAAGAACAGTTGTCATGCCAGTCTGCAGATTCCACATACGAACCAAAACCRTGATAACATCTGGACTCCTCTAACCAACAATGTCAGAAATAATAAAAAATACAGGAGGTTCCACTGCTTTCTGGACTTCCTTACCAGTCAGGCACGCTGGGGAGCTGCACTGCTGTCTGCACTGACCTAACATTTCTACATTACAATTTCATGCTGTTTTAAAGCTTGTTAGACTGAAGAAAACAATAAAATTCCTTGGTGAGCACTGTGGATATTTGTAGTTTGGAGATGCTATTAATAGAATTATAAGCTGATGAATGCCAGCTACTTACATGTAGGTTTAGTTTCCTCCTGGCCGTAAGATAGAGTCATTAGAGGTTTAAATAGCTTACTSTGGGGATGAAGTGTAACCTCTTCCTTCAGATTCACTCTGAGTGACCATGGCTGGCCCAGCACAGTAACGAGGTGTTCGATGTTGCTGAGCACTGCAGCAAATGCCCAACTTTAGGAATATCCTTAAATCCATGCCTGCTCCATGTGATCACCCACCCTTAAGGAGAAGGCATTTAATAATATTATCTCAAAGACTGCTAAGTCCCTTGAGCTTCAGATAAACATTTGCATGCGTTCCTCATTAGTTTGGCAAAATATAGAAATKAATGGAGGAATTAAATGTCTTTTTAGATTTCTCTTGGTGACTAAAGGCCTAGAACATAAAGAAAKAAAMAAAACAAACAGAAAAAAATATACATATGATAGCTTCAGCCATTGTAAGCTTAATCAAGTTATGTGGCCTTTGAATGCACTGGGTTCTTCCAGCAAAGGAAACAGCAGCTTCTTGTTTTTGTGTTAAGCTCTCTCAAGAGTAACACCATTCCTGTTCMAGGAAAGGAAATAAAGTTACAGGCTGCATCAGCCAGAAGTGCTTCCTGCATTCAAGGTGCCAAAACAAAACAAGTGAATTGTTGACAACAATGTAAAAATACAATGATGGAACACCTGAAAGTTAAATCAACATTTTTCTCCTATTGTTTTAGGTCCAAACTTCCAGAGGAGTGATTGTCAAATCCTGGAGCCAGAAAGAAAATCAGCCTCYAACTGCATTGTTCTGATGGAAAACAATCAGCTTGCCAGCATGCAATTTCTTCAAGTGAARGAAATTCAGGAACTAAACCCAAGCCAGTCAGGAACACTTTCACTGCCAGCAAAATTCTCAGCAACAGCAGGCAAGAAAGTAGTTTGAAAATACATGGGGCTGCTCTATCTCTGAACAGCCACTTTGCTCTGTCTGTTCTCAATCAAGACTTAGCCTGTCCTRCCTTTTGGACTGCCTACTGTTTGAGAAAGTTTCCAGAGGTACAATCTGTTAAAATATCTGATTTTTGCCCATAAACCAAATCCATTCTGATTGATGAAAAGCCTGAAATAACAGCCTAATCTAAAGCAGAACCATCCCTATGATGGGAATATGGCTATTACTCCTAGAAGGATTTTACACATCTGACTGTTCCATGATTTTAAATGCTCTGAACAGCAATTTAGTTTCTAGATAGTTATGACATCCTCCCCTCCGGAAATACCTCCCTTTCCTCTCTGGAAATACATGAATGCTGCTGTTTGCAAAGGCTTACCYCAGACTGTGATGGGGCTGAACACAGCAGCCTCCTGCTGTCCACTAAGGAATACTTCATTCAGGACTATAGCTGGGGGGGCAGTGCAGATGAACTTTCAGTCATGGAGCTTCTGCTCATTTACCTCTCTGAATCACACGTAACAACAGAAAKCAGTATTTTAGATCCTCCAACGAACAGAAAATGGGATCATTACTAATCTGGGAACTGTATAGGAAGAAAAAAGACAG